CGGGTCGCGGTGTCCAGTGTGTCCGTGTCCCTCGCAGATTCGACGCAGTGAGCGAGGCGGCGCTGGCCGCGTATGCTGCGATAGTTTTTGCGGCGAGGGCGGCCTGCCGGCCGTTCGAAATAAGTCGCGTGTGATTTGTGGAGGTGTGCTGGACCGGCTCGGCGAAGGGCGCTCGGCGTGGCGCGGCGGGGCGGGGGGATAGTTGCTGGACATTTGCATGGTGGATAGTGGAACGTGGCTTTAATGCGCACTATAGGGGAAATAGTGCGCGCGTAAATCAATGCTCTCCCTGCCTCCCTCCCCCTCCCCCCCCCCCTTCCCCGCCGCGCCGCCCGCGCTCACCAAACATGATTATGACGGCCGTGATGGCATCGCTGGGACGTGCAGTGCGTGGCGCGGGGCGGGGCGGCGCGGGGCGCGGGCGGCGCGGCGCTCTGCATGTCAGGCCTGCCTGCACAGCAGCGCAGGCAGCGCCCAGCTCAGCACGGCGATGCACCGCCCCGCGCCGCCCCGCGCCGCCCCGCCCCGCGGTGCACAACTATTGCGCCATTGTGGGCCTCGTCGGTCCGCGCCCTGCACCGCCCTGCACCCCATCCCCACGGCCTGGGGGCTGGCGGGGCTGGCGGGGCTGGCGGGGCTGGCGGGGCTGGCGGGGCTGGCGGGGCTGGCGGGGCTGGCGGGGCTGGCGGGGCTGGCGGGGCTGGCGGGGCTGGCGGGGCTGGCGGGGCTGGCGGGGGCTGGCGGGGCGACGCGGCCTGCGGGGATGGCCGCCCCAGCGGTCCAGTGCGCGCCGCGGCGCCGCGGCCCTGCAGCGCGCTGGCAGGTGGCGAAACGCCACAACACGCATCCGCGGTCCGCGCCTACACTGCCGAAGTGGCCGCCTTTTGATTCGGCCGCTGTGCAGTGGGCCAGAAGACCGGAGCAGGCGGCCAAAACTCCAGGCGGCGTTTTGAGGTCCAACTGAACATGTGACCCCACCAATGGATTCCTCCTTCGGAGAGCAATCCATTGGCGGGGTCACATGTTCGGTTTGGGCCTCGTTTAGCGACTCTGGAGCTCAAAACGCGTGCAGAGTTTTGGTTTCCTCCACCGGCCTTCCGGCCCACTGTGCGCTGGGGCACTGCACGCTGCATGGCATGGCCATGGCATGGCACGGCCGCGCGGGTCATGGTGACGGCCTGGACTGTGGTGGCGGTGGCCACGGCCGGCCAAATCGCTTTGCCGCCCCCGGAAGCCCGCCGCCGCCGCCGTGCGGTTTCAAAAACCGTGGCGCTGCGGTGGGCGGCGGCGGGGGCGGAGGGGGCGGCGGGGGCGGCGCACCCTTGCCACCTAGTGGGCCGTGGTCCAGCCGGCGGTCCAGCCAGGCCGGCCGGCCACTTTGCGGCGGCTCTGCGGCCACAGTGTGCCACACTGCGGCCCGGCCGGCCTGTCCTGCAGCCGCGCATTCTTCCACCGCACAGCGCAGCGCGCGCTCTCTCTCGCACACGCCACGCTCCGGGAGAGCGAGAGAGACAGAGCGACGGACAGCCATATGTGAAATCAGTCGCCAGGCCGCGCGGCGCTGCGCGGGTAGGGCGTAGGGCGGCACGCGCGGATCTTGTTCGGCAAGACGTGCCTGCCACCCGCACCCCGCCCCGCCCCGCCCCACCCCGACCTGCCCCGCCCCGCCCCGCCCCGCCCCGCGGGACTCCTGCCTGGCAATGAGAAATGGGGGAGCGGGTGTTTTGAAAGCGGAGGATACAATGTAAACTTGCAGTGGCTCTGTTCCACTCTGTTCTAGGCGGGCGCGCTGGCGGGGGATGCGGGGGATGCGCGGCCCGGCGCTTTAAAATAGCACAGGCCTTTACTCGCGGCGCGCAGCGCGCTGCCTTGCCTTTCCGCAATTCGAACGAACTCGGCGCCGTTTCGCGTCTCGCGGCCCGGGCCGTTTCGGTGGTTTCAGCTTGAGCGCCACGGCGCGGCCGGGGAAGGGGGCAGCGTGGTTTTACCGTGGATGATACATTATACATTGCATTTAAATAAATTCCTGTAATGCATTAATATTCAATGTAATCAGCTTGTAGGCTCCCCATGCCCGTAATACGTAGTCGTAGTCCTATGTAGAAATGCGTGTTTTTTCTGGACGTATTTATTTTTGTGATTAAAATATTGGTGGCTGACGCAGGTGATGGAGGGCCGGCTCCGGTCGCCGCGCCGCGCGCCATCGGCCTCGGCTGCAGACTGATTCCGAGAGCCGTTTTCTTCGCTCTGTCTCTCTCGCACCCATACGGGACACCCCATGAGCGCGAGAGAGACAGAGCGACGAAAACGGCTCTCGGAATCAGCCCGCTGGCCTCGGCTGGGCTCGGCTCGGCCGGCGTCGCGTTCGAGTGATCCATATTGAACTCATTAGTGCGCTCTTCTAATTTATCACTGTCGCCCGGTTTTGCGCTGTTCTGAAAGGTATCAAATGTCGCTGTGATTAAACCCGCCTCCACCCCCCCCCCCCTTTTCACCCCCTTTACCCGCCCCCAACCCCTCTCGGGTATGGCCGGCCGCGCGGCGACACATCATTTTCTGATGGCGAGCGCGACGTTCTTCCCTTTCCCCCTCCCCTTCCCCGCCGCAGTCAGTACGAGGGCCGTTTCACGCCCGTTTCCAGTGTGCGAGTCCTGGTTACTCGCGATTGCTGCTCCACTCGAAACCCCGTCTGCCTGCACCTCCACGACAACGACGGACTCGTCTTTTGTTTTTGTCGTTTCGCTTCCGTGGCGCGTGGGCGTGCGTCACTTTGCCGGCACGGAAAGTGTTGGTGTTTGGAGGCGGTCGGTCGGGAGGTTGTGCTGCAAGGATTCGTCATGCGGTGTTTATTTGGCGGCCTTGTTGTTGGCGCTGCGCACATTTGGCGGCCGGTTCGGGGGCGGCGGTCCGGGGGCGGCGGTCCGGGGGCGGCGGTTCGGGGGCGGCGGTCCGGGGGCGGCGGTCCGGGGGCCGTGCCCGGGGCGGAGCGGACGGACAAATCCCCGGTCGTTTATTCGTTTAGTGCCGTTAGTTGGATGCGGGGAATCTCATTTAGTAAACGATAACAAACAATTGATTCGCGCGCGCGCTTTGTTTTGCAGTCGCCATCAATTGAAATGACGCGTCGCGTATCGCGGGACCGAAGCGCGATTCCGAAGGGGCGGTTTGGTCGCTCCGTCTCTCTCGCACCCTTGCGGCCCTCGCGGGGCGGCGCGGCGGTGCGAGAGAGACGGAGCGACGAGGGATTGGCACGCGCTGCTCCGCTGGCGTGCGGGACGGGAAACGTCACCGCGACGGCGACATGTCGGCCGGCATTGTGAAGAGAGCCGTGCCGCTGCCTGGGCACTGGCCGCACTGGCCGTCCGCTGCCACTGCCGGACGTTTGCATTCTAATGCCACATAATTAGGGCAATAAAGGCCAAGTCTGTTGATTCTGACACAATTTGGGGCGGCGGCCGCGCGCACGCACGTCAGCGACAGTGTGGTGGCAGCCCGTGCAGGCCATCGAGGGAGGTAGGCGTAGCGAGGCCGCGCCGCACCGGGCAGGGCAGGGCACGGTGTAGGGTCACTGACGGCGACTGTCAGCTGCTTTCGTTTTGATGGAACACGCGGGACGCGCTCGACACGGCAGGGCACGGCACGGTGTGGCACGGCACGGCACGGCGTGGTTGGGCCTTGGGAGGACTGGCAGAGCTGGCAGCCAATCCCGCGTGTTCAAGGTTTTCCCGCCAACGAAGCGCGGCCCTGCTCCGCCTTGCCGGCGTCGGCCCTGACTTGACTTCGGCCCCTGGCCGTGGCGTACCGTGCGCCCTCCTTATTTCAATATTGTTTTCTCCCGAATACATTCCCCATCCAATCCGAGGCCGGTTTGGTTTGAAATCCGGACGCCAGGACGCGGTCTGGAGGTGGAGGTGTGGTGGGGGTCATTCACATTAGTGCGCGCGGAGCCGGTGACTATAAATCCGTCCCAGCCTCACTTTATTCATATAATTAATTCTAAATTTAGTTGGACGTTGTTTCTTTGGAAGACTTTTTATTAAAGTAATTCCGTTGCCCCTTGCGTGCGCGCCGTGCACCGGTCGCGTCGAGTGTTGACACCTGGGCCGCGGCTGCCGCGCCGCAGCCACGGCGCAGCTGGCACTAGGCGTCTTGGAACGAGACTCTGCCTCTCATTTGCCTATGTATGTTATATCCGGCAGCGCAGTGTGTTCGAGGGACATCATCAATAAATCAATAGGGCCGCGCGCGCGGGGCCGTCCGGGCCGACCGGGCCGTCCTGCCATGCATTATGTATGGGCAGCCTCTCATTTCACACCCCCATATTACATGTACTGTACATTTTATATAAATAAATGATGGTGTCTGGAACCCCGCGGGCCCGGCCTGGCCGTGCAGGGCCCCGCCGTGGGCCCCGCCGAGGGCCCCGCCGGCGAGGGCCCCGCCCCCCAGGGCGCCGGGCAGGCCGGCAGGCCGGGCTGGGCCGCGGGCCCCGCGTGGGTCCCCGTATGGGCCCCGCGGCGGCAGCGAATAGGGGCGAGAGTCGCTCGGTGCTCCTCGTCGCGGCCATGGAGGCGCGGCGGGGCGCGGCGGGGCGCGGCGGGGCGGGGCGGGGCGGGGGCGCCGCGGCGTGGTGGGGGTAATGTACACAGAGTGGAGCCGGCGAGCGGCGCGGAGGGCGCGGGCCGGCCGGGCTCTCACAGCAGTGCCGCGACCGGAGGCAAGCGGACGTGCCGCGTACAGTGCCGTGCTGGGCGAAGCGGCGAAGCAGGCGCGTCGCGGACTCGCGGTGTCAGTGAGGCAGGCGTGCGCGTCGAGTTGAGTCTCGCGGTCGGGTCGGCTCGGCTCGCGGTGTGGTGGTGTGGCGGCGTGGTCAAGCGGCGTGCGTGTGTGCTCTGTGTTGTGGTGGTGTGCGTGTGGGGAGGGTGGCGCCGAGGGGCATAGTGGTGCGGGCGGTGTCCGGGTGTGTGGCTGAGCAAAGGCCTGGGCCTTGTTGGTTGCAGATGAGGCGAAGGCCGGCCTGGTGAGGCTCGGCCAGCGTGCCAGCTTGGCCTTCGGCTCGGCCTTGTGGGGCTCGAACGGCATCGCCGAGGGCATCACCATGCAGCACTGCCTGGGATCGCCGCAGCAGTTCTGCCTCCGCTGGAACAACTACCAGAGCAACCTCACCCACGTCTTCGACCAGCTGCTGCAGAATGAGTCGTTCGTGGACGTCACGCTGGCCTGCGAGGGCCACTCCGTCAAGGCCCACAAGATGGTGCTGTCAGCGTGCAGCCCCTACTTCCAGACACTCTTCTTCGAGAACCCCTGCAAGCACCCCATCGTCATCCTCAAGGACATCCGCTGGCCGGAGCTCAAGGCCGTCGTGGAGTTCATGTACAAGGGGGAGATCAACGTGTCACAAGAGCAGATCGGGCCGCTGCTGCAGGTCGCCGAGTCGCTCAAGATCCGCGGCCTCGCCGACGTGACCGGGGAGGACGGCTTCGGCGAGGGCAAGGCTGAGCCGGTCAGGGACTCCAGCGCCAGCCGCGACGCCCGAGACACCCTCAGGGACCCGACGGGCACCCCGGCGGGCAAGGAGGAGCGAGAGCCGCGCGAGCACCGCAGTCCCGGGCAGCGCGACTCGGCCAGGGACCCCGCCAGGGACCCCGCCAGGGACTCTGGCCGCGAGCGCGACCTGGTGACCCGGGAACTCATCAGCCGCAGCTCCCCGAGGGACCTGAGGGACTCGAGCGCGCGCGACGGGAGTAGGGATCCGTCCGGGGAGCGGGAGTCCTCGAGCCGGCCGCCCAGCAGCCTCAGCCTCGGCGGCGGTCTAGCCGGCCTGGGCAGCCACGAGCCCCTGCCGCTGTCGCTGCCGCTGCAGAACCCCCTGGCGCTGCCACTACCGCTGTCGTCGCCTCTGCCCATGCACCGCTTCAAGAAGAGGCGGCGCGCGTCGGCGGACCACAGCCCGATCCAAGGCGCCTCGTCGCCCGAGTCATCGTCCTCCAACCTGAACCACTCCAACGGCACCCCCGGCAGCCCCGGCCACAGCGGCCACAGTGGCCCCGGTCTCGGCCCCAGCCACGGCCCGGGCGCCCCCAGCACCCCGGCGGGCGGCCTGGCCGGCGTGGGCGGGCTGGCGGAGCCCTTGGAAGGCGCGTTGGGGCCGCCCGCCCCGCCGCCGCCGCCCCCCGCCGCCCTGCCCGCCGCCGCCCCCCAGCTGCAGGGCATGCCCGCCGCAGCCGACCTGTCGCTCGCCATGCCGCCGCCGCCGTCACTGTCGGACGACTTGGAGATCAAGCCAGGCATCGCCGAGATGATCCGCGAGGAGGAAAGGGTGAGTGTCTCTTTTACTGAATATTTCATCAGTCCGACGCGACGCGACGCGCCATGTGTCACTGGCGGGGAGGGGCACAAGCCAGCCAAGACGTGCTGGCTGGCTGGCTGGCTGGCCGCGCGGGGCCTCGCGCTTGTTATGATTGAAGGCTGACTCTAAACATCCCGCGTCAGATAAACAAGCAGCAGCGCTATAAATACGGCTGGGCTGCTTCCAGCTGCCCGCCAGCCCGCCTGGCCGCCAGCCCGCCAGCGCGTACTCGCCCTGCACCGAGGCGGCGCGGCGCCGTCCTGGTGGCGGTCAATGCCGGCCGGAATGTGTCCGAATCGGCGAGGCGTTGAGACGAAACGAGACGAGACGGGGGCGTGCGCCGTCAACGCCATCAGCATTTCAAATTCCGCGGCCCGCGGCGACGAAGCCGCCACCCCCGCGACGCGACATCGCCGTGCACGACCGCGCTGCCCAGCCCGGCCGGCTGTGGTCGCCAGAAGCACCGTCGGGGAGGACGCAGCGCGGTGCGGTGTAGCGCGTCGTCGGCGAGGTCCGTCAGGGCGCCCTCTTGGACATGCGGCCGTGTGATTCAGAAGTCGCGTCTCTCTCGCACCCTGACGGAGTGCCTCGCGAGTGCGACAAAGGCGACTCTTCCGCCGAGGTTCGCGGCGCGGCTGGCGTCGACGCGCTGCTCGCGGAAGTCGTCGACGGGGGGCGTGCGTCGCGCGGCGCGGCGGCTTCGCGGAACGCGGTTGGATTTGTGCGATCGGTCAGCGGGATGGCGCGGCGCGCGGCTTGGTGGCGCCGGCAGGTGTCAATACCCTCGGGTCGCGTGCGCCGCGCGCCGCGCCGAGGCGCCAATATTTAACGAGTCAATGAGTGTAGGAGCGCTGCCCGCAGGCAGTGCGCCGTATCGGCCTGGAGCAGCGAGTACCCGACGACCGAGGAGCCGAGGCGCGAGTAACCCGCCGCGGCGTCCGCGAGGGCGCGTTAGTTTGATTTACTCCAACGTTCCCGCCGAGGAGTCGCCGGCCCTTTCTTGGTGGCGCCGCGGTTTGGCCGCGCGGCGCGACCTCGCCGACGCCATCGTCGCCGTCGTCGCGGAGTCGGGTTCATTTATGCATGTTCGAAGCAAGTGCCGCGCGCCGAGGCGGGGAGGGTGGCCGTCGTAATGGTTCGTCATTTCGTCGCGTGTGGGTGGGGCAGACCAGGGGAAGGGGGGGAAGGGGGGATTCGCGGGGGGAACACCTGGCCGCGGTCAAACACAGGTGTGTATTCCATCAATATGTAGTGACATGAATGATATAGGAAAGGCCCCCGCCCCGCCCCGCCCCGCCCCGCCGACGCCGCCAGGAGGAAAAGGCGCGGCCGGCAACGACGCGGCGAGGCGAGGCGAGGCGAGGCGAGGCGACACCCGAATCGATGCTCATATTCGATCGCCGCATTAATACGCGCGCAATCGCCGGGTCCTGCAGTCTGTCCATCTGTCTGTCCGTCTGTCTGCTTGTCCGTCTGTCCGCCCGTTCACGTGCTGTGGGTGAATTTGCCCGGAAACGAGCGACGAGTTGTATTTGGAGGGCCGCCGCCCCACCGTGGGCCAGAAGACCGGTGCCGGCGGACAAAACTCTAGACGTGTTTTGAGCTGCGGAAACGCTAAACAGGACTCGCACCGAATGTGTGACCCCACCAGTGGACTGCTCTTCGAACGACGAATCCATTGGTGGGGTCACACGTTCGGTTCGAGTCCTGGTTAGCGACTCTGGAGCTCAAAACGCGTCTAGAGTTCTGGCCGCCTGCGCTGGTCTTCCGGCCCACTGTGCGCTGGCCGTTGTGAGCGCGGGGCAGGCTGGCCGGCAGGCCGGCAGGGCACTTTACTGTTGGCCAATAATAATGTGAGGCGGGCAATGGCACACGGCACACGCATGTGGCCAGGGCGCAGCGACAGCGCAGCGCGCAGCTACATGCAGGCCACCTGGCCATTGTGGGCCGGCCCGCCGCGGCCCGCTTGTCCGCCGCGGTGCGGTACACGGCCACGCACAGCACTGCGCGGCCCGCAGACGGATTCCGAGAGTCGTTTTCGTCGCTCTGTCTCTCTCGCACTCGTGGCGCGTCCAGTATAGGCGCGAGAGAGACGGCAACCCCAGGCGACTCAATGCTTTGCCTCTGCTCCTTAAATTTCTGTGACGTCAGACGCGGCTTCCGATACAGGAAACATACCACGAGAAATTTCCCTCAACAGAAAACCAAATTTCCCGCACTCCCGATCAGAAGGTAAATAAACATTGGGGGACACTTTCTATCCAGATTCTATCACCCCACTTTCCGCCCGGGATCGAACCCGGGACCTCCGATTCGGGAGGCAAGCTCTCTACCACTTCGCCACGGTGGCTGCTGGATACCCAGCAGAGTTCACCTGTCTCATGGAGTCGTTTTCCTGCAGTTGATACCAACCTTCCCGGCTCGGCGCATCAAAATACGGGACGAAATTAAAAAAGTTGTGTTTCTATGAAGACACTAAATCCGGCATGACCTGCAAGTGACTTGTTCTTTTGAATGGTTAAAATTGTTTGCGAGCTCAAAACCACGATTTAATGCTTAATCTGGACGTCCCAAAGAGGTAGCTATGCGCCTTCTGTGAAGGTGGCAGTACGGGAAGCCGCACCGCTCTAGGAGTCGCCTGGGGTTGAGAGACGGAGCGACGCAAACGGCTCTCGGAGTCAGTCTGCTGTGGGTGACGGCGACCCTGACGGCGACGCCGGCGAGCGCGCGGCCGTCCCCGCCAGAGTCCCGGGAGGTCCCCGATGACGACGCCGAGCCCCAAGCTCGCTTTTATCGGTGTTTCCTCCGCGTAGTGTGTGACTCGGATTTCGATTCCGGGGCCTTGTTTGTTTCACACGCGCACACTACCTGGCCCGTTGGCATACTCGAGGTATGGGCCGGCGAGGCGTTTTCCGAATGGTGCGTCGCCCGGCCCCACCTGCCTCGTGATTATCCCCCGGCTATTGTCCACAACGCACTCACACTCTCTCACACGCACACGCTGGCGCGCGAGGTGTTAAATGCACGGTGCACCTCGCTAGCACTGCTGGCCCACTATCGCCGGGCCTTTGGCTCAATATTTGCCCAGAGATATTGTGGGCCACGGAAGTTCCTTCGCGCCACGCCACGCCGCGCCGCGCCACACCACGCCACACCGCACCACGCCACACCACGCCACGCTCCTTGGTCCGATAAGGACGGCCGCTATCGGGCTGCCTGGCCCTGCCGCCCTGCCGGTGCGTCCTGCGCGCGGGCCGTCGTAAATTTTTAATTCCCTCCCAAGCAAAGGAAGAATCGGATTGTTGTTATTTGGTACCGGCAGAGGCAGAAAATGTGTGGCGAGGCGCCGCACACATTGTGCAACCGCAGAATCGTCGGCGTGGCGCGCCTCCGGGCCCCGGCACACTGATTCCGAGAATCGTTTTCGTCGCGCTGTCTCTCTCGCGCTCATGGCGCGTCCCGTACGGGTGCGACGGAGACGGAGCGACGACAACGACTCTCGGAATCAGTCTGCAGGCACCGCCGTGGCGACGATGACGTTGACGTCGTGCCTCTGCTGCCGCGGCGCCGCGGCGGACGGGCGCGGCTTCTTTTTCTGACATTTGCCACACATTTTGTGTGCGTCGGGCTGGGGCCGTCGTCTTGCGCGGGTGTGTGTGTGTGTGTGCGTGTGTGTGTGCACGCGCTCGCTGCGCGTGTGTGAGTGAGTGTGTTTGCGCGGCGGGAGTGCTCGCGCTGCGGATTCCGCGCCCCGTCCGTGCCTCGGCCGAAACTAGCGCGTCATATCGCCCAACTTCGATTATTCGTGTCAGTGGGATTATTTAATTGTTTGTCCAAACAGCGCGCGCGGCGCGGCGGGTCGCGTAGCGCGGGGGAGTGGCGCGGCGCGAACGTGTTCCGTACCGACCGCGGGGCCGCGGGGTCGGCGCGAGGGGGTAAACACTTCAAGAAATCGTGTACAGACTACTCGGTATTACGCTGTATTACAGGTGTATTACACGTGTATTACGGCCCTAAAATGCCCAAATTTGCCACATTTGACCCAAAAATGGTATTACGATCACGTGTATTACGCGTAATACACGGTTTTTGTGTACAGGGTATTACGCGAGTGGTTACCCCCTCGGGTCGGCGCTATGTTGAGTTCGGGCAACACGACGACGGCGTTGCCTCGCGTCGCCGCGGTGACGTGGCTGCTGCCGGCAGGCGGTTTGCGGCGATAAGGAAACGCACCTGCAGCTGCACTGTGCCCAGGCAGGCAGGCAGGCGGGGCGCGTGCACGCACTCACAGAGTCGCAGCCACTCGCGGTGTGGACCAGGGTGCGCAAACTTTACATTGATTGAGATTTTTGGTGCTTTTATCTCGTGATCGGCTAGAGATAAAATAGTTGCGCACAGAATAACTAACATTCAAAATTCAATTTTAAATTTAAGTCATCCTGTTGATGAATTTTTCATGTCTAGCCGACGAGATACATGCAGTGGGCACCCGAAATTTCAATAAATGTTGGGTTGGTGCACCCTGGTGCGGACTGGCGGTGAGTCACACGCCGACGCCGTGGTTTCGGCGTTCGACGCCGAGGTGCTTGGCCATCGCCGTGCTCGGCCGCGCTCCGCCTCGGCAAGCGCTGCTGACGCCGCCCCGGGTTTTGGGTTTTCGGTTGACTTTCTCCGCGTTTTGTCGGCGCTTTTGCCTTCGCCGCGTGAAAGTGGCGCGTCGTCGCACTCTGCACGCGGCGCCCCTCGCCCTTGGTGCTTACGGTGGCGCGGCGGCGGCGCGGTGGCGGTTCTCGAGTTCGCTTCCTGGAACGGGCCGCGAAGGGCGTCGCCATGGCGGCCGGGCCGTCGGCGGGGCGCGGCGTCGCCGGTCCGCTTCTTATTCCTGCATTTGGGCGTCGCGACGCCGGCGGACGGACCGAGGGGCCACGGCCGTGTGATCGATGGATGCGCGGGACCATTAGCGAACTTGG